GTGAGAAAGATAAACTTGCAGGAGCAGGAATTCCTGGCTAGGAGAAATGGAATCTAGAAAAATTAACTTGTGTTCTAGGAAGAAAAACAGAGGGGGGAGGTCCGAAACAGCTGTCTGCTGCTGAAAACAAATGCAGCATAGTGCAAGTCTCTACCTTTCAGTTTCTGAGCTTTTTCTCCTCCTACCCTCCCGAGTGCTGCCAGAGCCCCCTTATAGTACCAAGCACTGCATTGTACGCTCCCTCCTCACCTATTTCACTGCAAAGCCTTGCCGTTGTGCCCTGGCCTTGTCCTCAAGACCACTGCCTTCTCACAACACTCTTCCTACAGCTGCTGCCTCATTTTCCCCACCACCTCAAATTCCTATTGCTGCCCCTCGCGCTGCTTCACACTTGCCCTCTGAAACACTAATATTGCTTACCTGTAGGAGTAAGTACCAGCATGAAACATTTATAATTTCTGTGCTGGCTTTCACTGCCAACTACTAAGCGTGAGAATTGTTTCTCAGCATTTGTGCCTAACACCGTAGGGCTCTAACGTCTCCCAGGATTTCCTACTGCTACCACTGTATAAATACCAATATATACTTTACAGGGGCACGTCCTGTTTTCATCCTCCAGGAATCACTGCGCTAGTTTGGATACATTGCTGCATGGACCTCTCCTTCTCAGGAAAGCTGCCAGCTCTTTTCATGATGCCACAAGAACTGGTTTCCATGGCACATTGTTTTGTCTCGCTGAAGACTGAGGGAAAACTGGAACAATCTGCAAGAACAGCAGATAGTATTGCTGTCCCTGAAAGACTTACAGGGTCAAATTCAATTCTAAATGCGGAGTTGGACACTTCTGGAAAGCAGAACATTCTTGTCAGTGCTACGATGGTTACCCAAATCCTTCTTTTACAAGAAGACCAATACAGTGAGAGTTTTGAGAGGTTTTCCTGGTGCTTTTCTGTTGCTGGGAAGCCAGAAGCCAATAGATTTTTCAGTCAAGACAATGTGGGCACCCGACTGAATACAGATACACGACAACTGACAGAAGCTGATGTTACAGGGTGGGGTGACAAACACAAAGGGCAGCTTTGGAAGATTAAGACAATCATCTAATAATACCACTGTATACACATACATAGGGCCAACTTTTTAAAACTATGAGTCAGACCTAAAAAGAACCGGCCTTTCTGAAGTACTGGTGCCTTTGGATATCTCAAATTGGAAAATCAAAATCATCTGTCATTCTGAAAGCCTGCAGGTCTGGAATAACATTTTAAAGGGTGGGTTTTTTTTTTTTTTGACTGCTAGGGTTTGGTAATGTCACAGCCAAGCGCAAGGAAAAGATTTTGGGGCTAGTATTTATGAATGCCCAACGCTCTTGAAAGTAAAAAAGGATGGTCCCTGATATGACGAACATCTGAGATAAACTTGATGCCCTTTTTAAGCACCTACAGAAATTAGGATCGTTCAGGTTTCTCTCCCCGCCCCCGGTTTCTATGTGCAAGGACTCCTGTCTCCCAGCGGACACCGGGGGGGGGGTCAAAGGCAGGGCATGCTTCAAACGCTTTTGTAATGGGAGTAATTAGATTTTGTCCCAGGCCAAAGAGTGTGTGTGTCGTCTGTGTGCGCGTGTGGCACGACGCCATGCGAATGATCTCTTTAAACTGCAATTTGGACATGTGTCAATGGAGAAGGAGTCAGGTTTTTTTTTTTTTCCCCCCCTCCACAGAAACAGCTGTCCTGGAAAAGCACCGGCTGGCACATACTCACTGCAGATACATAATCCCAACATCTCGGCACGCAGCTGCAGTGGCTTCTTTTCTTTTCTTTTCTTTTCTTTTTTTTTTTCTGGCCTGCTCAGTGAAAAATGTTCTTTCTCTGGAGGTTTCTGTTTTAATCTACTGCCGTATTTTTCCTCAACGCTGTCCCGACATCTCCCAGGGCCTCCCGACACGAGGCGGCGTGCCGCCGT